AAGTATAGTACAAGATAATCTAATAGTATAGTAACAAGGAATATCACAAGCCCAACGATTATGACAAATTGTCACTAAAAAGATAAATTTTTTAGTTTTAGCTCAATCAGTAGGGATTATCGAGCGTCCTGATCACGAGTTTGACACCATCGTTTGACACCAGTGCCACTTCTTGACGCTGCAACTCCGTCCTACCTCTACCGCTTACCTACCCGGCTAGTCTATACTCAGGTTCAGGGTTTACCCAAGGTTCCTTACATGTTTATATTGGTAACCACAAGGACTTTGTACATTTGTTACATCTGCCCAACAATCCCTACTGGTTTCTCAGTGGATGCATGTCATAATATTGGCCTAGGTAGAGATATGGTGCTGTGCATATGGTTTATTTGTGGACAGATCACCGGATAAGCCCTTCATGCGAATTTCCGAAGAAAACTGATGAAAATAATTGGAAGACTGATGGGAAAGCAAAGTAACAAGGGCCAGTGCCATATCCAGGGTCAGCACGATACTCCTATCAGAAAAAAATCCTGGCCAATAAAACACTCACTCAAAAGTTTTGAATAGTTGAACAATACTGGGAAGTCAGTCTAGTTTCTGAATGAGTTTGAACTAGAGCGATCAAGCAGGAAAAAGGGAAATAATGACGAGAATACATAATGGTCGCGGGGGTGCCCAGTGAGTGTTTCGGTGACCGCCATTGATTTTTGCCATACAAAGCCCTTTTGCCATACCGACAATAAGCGGGAGTTGACCACAGTCTGGGAGGTTGCCATGGAGCAAAGGAGCTGTCACGGAGCGCTACCGCGGTCACTCATGTCACTTTCAGCATCTGGACTACTCCTAATAGCACCGACAGCCATTGTCTGCTTCCTTAATGTTCCCCTTGAAGTCTCAAAGCTTTGCCATATACCTATTTGGGTGCTCGACCCTTGCATGATGTCATGCGTCTCCCAACAACACAGCTGGGGTTGGTCGAAAACCAGTTTCTCTCGACGACGACGCCGACCCACTCCCTCTACCACCCATCCTCCCACATCAATCGCATTCCATTCCAATTTTGGACTCCTGGCTTCGAATTGCTTCCCTTCAATGCTTCGAATCGAGGCGGCCCGATTTTATCGATTTTAGCAGATTGTTTCAGTTTGATCTCTTTCTTTCAAATGAATTCTATGCTCAATGGGTATCTTGAGACAACCTTCTATGAAGAGAATTTCCAAGGCATTCTACTTCCCTTGTAACATTTGTATTTGGGTATAATCTCTCGACTTTTGCCCTGTTTGGTTTCAGTTTTTCTTCCAATTCCCACATTCTGAGTTTCAAACAACTTCTGATACGTTCAACTGTTAAATATTCGTTCATTATTTTGAACAACATAAGTGGCTTGACAACGGCATAACAACCGTAGTCGTTGTTATTACCTGCAAGTCACAAGATCTTTCTGTAGGTTAAGTACACTATCAAATGTGGCAACAACAATGAGCGGGATCGATAACATGGCGTAAATCAAAAGGTCTCCTGAATAAACCCCTTAAAAACTCCTAGGATGTGCCACGCACATTCCACGTTCCCATTTTATATCATGAGAGCTTTTATAGTTACCCTCGACTGTTGCAATGTGTTTCATTGATTTACCTGAATTTACTTTGAGTACTTTATTTATTCACCTGCTTATTTATTTATTTAATTACTTGCTTATTTATTTGCGTATTTATTCATTTATTTACTTATCCATTTGCTTATTTGTTTGGTTATTTACTTACTTTGATTCATTTATTTAATTGTGCATTTGGATTTATTTACTTCACTTTTCGTTATATTTCTGTTCGAGTTATATCGAACAACTTCTTACACGGCAATTGGTCCCGTTTCGAGTGCGATTCTAATAGGTAATAAAACTATTCAATAATTTAATCTATATCTAATCTAAAAATAATAAATATGCAATAATTGACCAACTGAATAAGTAAGTACATAGACAGATAAATTCTAAGACAAAAATTAAGCAATCAAGTAAATAGGCTAACAGATAAAAAATGATAAAATAAGCAAATAACAAATCAAATAAATATGGCTGCTTTGACAAACAGGACACCTGAGGCAAACCTTTTACCAATCAGTAGAGATATAATAGATAGTGTGGGAGGCTTGTTAGACTTGGGAAAGAATTCAGTCTGACCGTGTGCTTATGAATTTTTTGCCATTTTACCATACCTGTACTACTAGTAATATGAAAATTAAAATTAAATGGGAACTAGTAAAGAATTCTCCACCTGGCTTTATGACGCCATTGGGGTTGAAGTTTCGTCACATTTCTAGCATTGCGATCTCCCAATCTGAGATTTTATCTATCCAATTTTATTGACGTTGACGGGGTTTCGGGGGAACAAAGGTGCTAGTGCTATACACAAGGCTCTACTATGAATAGCTAACCTTGGACGGGTTCGATCAATTTTATTTACTGCCTCTTCGACAACAATCTGTTATTCACGTGGGTCTACCTACAGTTCCTATATTTTACCCTGCCGATAGCAAATTTTCTACTAGACCGTGTCTGCTAGAGCAAAGTATACGCAAAAAAGAACATCCATTAGACCCTAAAGACGTCTTGTGATCTTTTCTATGAAGTGAACCAAGTGATGGTCTTCTACTAACCATTGTAAAGGAGCATGGATCTTGCCAAGCCCAACTAATAGCTTTCAAAATGCGGTCTCGTTGTATATTCAGTCTGATGTTTTGAGCCCGAACTTCCCGAGCCTATAGGAATGAAAAATTCTCCCGGGCAGAGTTTGGCTTTGGACGCAGTCTACGAATTGCGAATATGGCGTCAGCGTCAATCACTATTTCTCGCTATCAATTCCCATTTGAGCAGAAAAGGAGCAAATTGAGACACGGTTTTGTCTTAGTTTTTCCAATCTTTAATAATTTTTTTCAATTCCGAATTTGCTGCCATTAAGCTGCCATTAATTCGAATGTCATGTCTCAACGCCTTATTTCTTTTGCATTTTTCTTCTTTGTTAGCATCCTACCATCGCTTTTTTTTGTTTTAGGTTGTTTTCGTTTTGTTTTCTCACTTTCCGTTGTCTCTAGGCTGTTGAAAAGGTTTTTATTTATAAACGACACTATTCAGATATTTTTCTGAGTCTAGTCATTGTGGTTTTGCGAAGTTTGTCTCAGAGCGCTTCGCAATGAGGTAGGTTATTTTATTGGGATTTTTTTNTTTTTTTCCTCGATGAACTCCCTTTGAAAAATAAGGTCTGATAAGATGGGGAAAGTTTGGAACTAGGAAAATTTAAACTTTCAAAAATTCAGCCCATACCAACGTGCGGGAAGGATCCTTCTTAAATGGCTATTCATAAGAGAATTCTGCGTTCCCACTACCTGGAGACAAGGTCGAGAGTGACGTGAAAAAAATTCCTTCTTACAAGTATTCCCTGAACTCCAATCTCAAGATTGAACTTCCTAGCCAAGTCTCTTCGTAGTATTCCTAATTCTTACTGGTTAGTTGTGCCTTATACTGAAAGACCAAGTGAAAATAGGGACTGGAGTAGTTAAAGAAGATAGGAGAGGCTGTCTACATTCCTCAGATTTTGATCAGTCGAGTTATCATGCCTGTAACTGTCGAAGATCCACTTACTCGACTACTTTTCAAATTTTTCATTACATCGTTCTTTACAGGAATCCCCAATTTCTCGATCCCCAGGAGACGTTTGAGCATTATGAAAACAGGAGTCGCCCCACGTCGTCACAGTCCTTCGATCCTATTGGTATTTTGTTATTAAGCCTGATTTTCATTTTTTTGTTTATTACTTTTCGAACTTTTAAACTGCTGTTTATGATTTTTTAGGTAGTTAGTTTAATTCTATGGCCTTATTGGGTCCCTTTTCGTGCAATCAACCCTCACTCGAAGCCGTTGGCTTTAGCGGGTACCGAACAAAAATTTGAATCTCTGGAAGTCAATGCATCTGGCTTCTTTCCACGTCCCCTAGAAGAATAGATGAGGAATAATCTCGTATAATACTACTTGACCCACGACTGCTTTTAGATGTGACGTCTTGAATTCGGCCTGTTTCACAGGCGATCTCCTTTAGAAATGCCTAGTATGTTTAGATGTTTCAGGTCCTCATGGAAGGCTGGCCTGCGAGTACCGAGCCGCCCCTCCACAACCAGGAGGTATGATCGAATCTTAAACATACTCTGGAAACCATTGAGAACTTAATTTTTTTTTTGAAAAAATTACTCTCTTGCAAATCTTCGATACTTTAGTATCAACTCTTGAAGTGTGATGAAGGTCAAAATGGAAAGATTTCAAAAGAGATTTTTCAGGCTCTCACGGCAGACTGGCATGTGAATATCGGGCGGCTCCTGGACAAAAAGGAGGTATCAGTTTAAGATAGCTTGGAATTCCACAAATTCTCTCATTAAATTTTCTAATTTGATCACTTTTCCCAATAGCTGCGTCTCACTGGTCGAATCAGCTGCGAATTGTCTCATTGTACCTATTAGGTGTCCACCTGTTTAGCGAAATTTAAGTTTAGTTAAACTCATCAAAATTCAGAGTTGTTCGAACCCGGTGTACAATCAGTGAGATGAATCGGATTACACTTCGACACTTTTTCCATAATCCAGAAATTCCAAAATAAAAAGCTTTTATCTTTGCTCACCTTCCCCTTCCATGCTTGCCGCCTCACATCTTCCCTACCTTCCAATCAAGGAAATAATCAAAGTCGCTGTACTATAGCAGTCACAACATCCAAAAGATAAGAATAATCAAATCAGCAAATTACCTACTGCATTTTCGTGAACTTTTCCTCTCTCCATTTCTTGAGTACCCCCAAATGAAAATGTCTTCACCCCTGTTTCGAACTCGTCATCTCATGCCTGATTCCGTGGAGAAATAGTAGAGAGATTGGAGGAATAAGCAAGGTTTTGAGGCAAGGGAAACTTTATTCCTTCAAAAAGAGGAAGTGACGTTTATTTCAGGTTCTGACGGAGTGATGGCATGCGAATATCGGGCGAATCCAGTTTCAGGTGAGATTTTTCGCGGTAGAATAGTGCTTCCGTCGAAAGAATCAATTAATTCCAGACAACAAAGGAGCGCTAGCTTGTGAATATCGCGGAAATCCACCACCAGGTTATATTGTACCTTTTAGTCGTTCAGATTTTTACTGTGATCCTGATAACTGTAATTTTGTTACTGTATTCATCAACTTTGCCCAAAGTATGTCACTAGACATATGTGTGTATAAAATCCTACACAAAATGCTGTTTAGAGGGCCCAATAGACTTCGTAGAAAATGTTGGGGTGAAGCAGCAACTACTTGCCTGGACTTCCATGCGACAGTTTTGTCCAGGAAGACAAAAATTCCAAAAGTAAAAAATATCGGATTTTCACTGTCCACCTATTATTAAAGAGAACTGCATTCAGTTCTACTATCCTTACAATAACGTTCAGTGTGTACGACATGCCTCAGAAAGGACCCAGGCTTTTCTTTATCTGTCAGATCTGAATAAGTTGAATTCCATGTCAAACGTTGGTTATCTGGCAAATCTGCTGTCACATAGCCTTCGACCATTTTTTCTTCCCGAGCCTCCGAATTGGTATTGGGAAAAAGAAGTGGCTAAGCAGAGGCTACCTGGCTAGGCTAACATGGTCCTACGACCACATTCCTCCTGAACCAAACGCTTTTTCATGCAAGCTAAATCCATGTGAATCTCTTCTACAGTACAAAAACACTTCATAAATTGGTCCTCAAATATCAGTAACAGATAAAGCGGAATGCATTTGTGGTCGGAGAAATGTCGATTTCATGGCTCACACTAGGCAGTCTAGCTAATACTGAAAATTTGCTCTATCTATGTTGGATTTATTCAATCAACCAAATCAGTTCAGATGCGAGATATCGGATAGACGACCCTGTTACAGTTCCTCAGGGAGCACCAAAAATCACCACTTATTTGCCAGACACGACTAAAAAACGAAGTGAGTCCGACTGCTGACTAACAATTTTATAATATTTTTTAGTGTTTTGTACAATCACTATTATCACTTTATGTAAATATGTTTTCATTCGAATTTTAGTTCCTCTTGGAGTGATACTTGCGGTAGCGATAGGAGTGCCTGTCATCCTTGTCCTATGTCTTTTTGGTGCCGTTTGGCTGCAAGAGCTCGGACTTATATAGAAGTTGGTGCTTTGACCACAGATTCGTGATAGAAAGTTATTTTTACCAGTTTTCCTCGGTTCTTATTGGTGCAAATAATCCCAGAATACTTATTTGTTCGTTAGTTGATCTCCTTACCTCATTCGAAGAGTTCATGGTGAAGTAGTACTTACCATCGCCCCGATGATTCATCGTTATTATGCCTTACCAGTCTCACTCAGCTTATTTGTCTATTTTTATCATGTGCTATCATCTTTTCCCCAAAATTTCCCATTATCACTGCTCCAGTAAGATTCTATTTGACCTCGTTCTGTTATTATTTTTTAACGCCCGTGTCTTGCTCGTAGATCCACCTAGCCGGTAGTGATTTTTACTGATTTTTGTTTGTATTTTGTAGTAATGTGTAATCAAATAAAGTCATAAGTGATTTTTGAGCGATCATAACTAGTTCGAATCGCAATAATTTTGCCAAAAACTTTTTCAAACAAGTGACAATTAGCTGTACGGAATTTCTACCGGCTATTCATGAAAATGGTACGATCTTTCATTGTAGTGGTCTCCCACAATACCTGTATGCAATATAATTTACATTCAAATATCAAATACGATTGTTCATTTATATCAACTAAGTGATCACATGTTATGAAAATGTATCACCGATAAACACATGATACATATAAGGGCGGAGGTGGTGGCAACCGGCGTAACATCACACATACACTGTTCGAGGATTGATATCTGCCCAGACCAGCCAGGCTTCCCAATGAATGATTAGCTAATTTCTATAATTTTATCCTTCTTTATTATGAACAAAAGTGATCATGCATTTCTATATTAATAGTCAACATCATTTATTACTGCGAATCGTTTCGTTTTTAGACCGGTTCCTTTTGTAGAAGTCCGATGTTGCAGGGAAGCTCAAGGGCAATTTCAAGGAGTGATTGGGTCACAGCAGCTCAACATAAACCTTTTCACAAGCATTTGTTTTTTAGGCGTTTTACTTCCACCCATAGTGCAGACCTACCTTGATTCTACTTGGACCACCTTTCGAAAGCTTCTTCACCTGAACACGTTCCTCTATCAGACCTGAGCTTGATTTTTAAAGCCAAAACAATATCCAGTGATGAACAAGGGATCGATGTTGTGATAAAAGTGATTGCTAAACGTCATTTATTTCCTAGAACTCCGGACTTTTTTTTTCGAAAAGCTCCCTGCATCATATTTCAGGCTAAACTTCAATGTTCTTCAGAACAGCTAACATCCAGCTTTCGGCTCCTTCGAACCTTGGAACCCTGTTGTGGTTAGAGGACTTTGAAAAATTCCTTCATAGCTTTGTCACTGCTCACTTTCATTCATCTCTCGTTGTTCTCCTGTCATCGAAAAACCTATCGAAATACGCAATCCATAACGTTCAGGAATGTGTCGACGTAATAAGAACAGCTGGCCTCGGCTCGCAAATTCTCTTGCCTTCATTCTTCAGCACTATTCACGTGCATGGAATTCCTTCTTCATTTTTTCGTAATTATTGATTAATTCATTCAAAAAGTTTAAAATTAGCACTTGAAAAATTATGTGATGCTAACCCAATCCGTTGGCCAGCAGCAAGTTGAAGCCTCCCTAACCCCTCGGCAGGGAATCAAGGTGGGATCGGAATGTTTTGAATATCTACAAGTCTGCCAACCCGCCCAGCTACTTGTCGCCTCAGCAGCTCAAAAGATTGCGGCAATTGCGGTCGTTTACGCAATCAAACGCTGTAAAGTTTTCAACTAAAGCCGAGGGCATGGCTTATTCCTTGAGGTAATGGTCGACGTTAATTACATCTGTTCCTCAAAGGGTTCTGGCAATTTCTATGTTGTGAGTTCTGGCAGTTTCCATGTTGTGGGAACTGGCAACCAGAAAATTATTTGGAACTACTATGTCTCCATGGATCTGGAAGGATAACTTCAGTCTCACCAGAATGCGCCATGCATCTTCAATCTACTTGCAAAATCACGGACTTACTGCGTTATGGTATTGGGTTCGCACAGTGAACTCGATCAGAAATCTCCTGACAACCATCAATCCATCACGGAATGATGACGAATTGGCCAGAACAAACATCTTCCGGCAGGTTCCAGAGGTTCAGTTGATTTCTAAACCTTCATTGTTTCAAAAGCATTTGGGCTTTTTTGACAACAACTGCTGAAGAAAAAGCATTTGGAGGCTGGAACCATCACAATCGTATCGATTATCTCTCATCAATAAAATAAAAAGTTGATAGGTTGAAGAATTGACCGCTGGTTTGTTGATCTTTGAAGCCCATTCGACAGCAGCTTGAACTATTGGGATCGATTTTTCACTGATCATGCACCATCTCAAGTAGAACTTATTATGGATAATTGGTATCACAGTAGCCGAAGAAAAAGCATTTGGAGGCTGGAACCATCACAATCGTATCGATTATCTCTCATCAATAAAATAAAAAGTTGATAGGTTGAAGAATTGGCCGCTAGTTTGTTGGTCTTTGAAGCCCATTCGACAGCAGCTTGAACTATTGGGATCGATTTTTCACAGATCGTGCACCATCTCGAGTAGAACTTATTATCGATAACTGGTATCAGAGTTGCCACAAAAGGTGAGTTGTCATGCTTTTAGAACAAGTAATCAAAAAAAGAAGTCAACAGCGACTACAAAATATGACCACTTCCCTCACATACCGCACCAAAAGGGCCCATATCAAGGAATCTTTGTGAGTGCGGTTTTCCGACTTTGATTAGAGGTTGCAAAATCAGCAAAACCTTGGACCATGTCAAGTGTGTCTTGGACTACTTTGTCCAACAAGACTATCCTAGGAAAATCTCTTTATTTGTTACGACTCGATTAATTCGTTGTCTTCAAGACCCTGAAAGTGTTGAATTCAATCCTGACTCCCTGCCGCTTACCTGTTCTAAAGCTTAAAGGAATGCTGCGGGCCAGCTGCAAAGCTTAGGTGGAGGCCTACCCGCGAACACGCTTATCGGTTAAAGGGAGCTCAACGACATATAGAGGCGTACAAGCCATCCTCATCGTCATTCTTACAGGAACCTCTGCTGACATCATCAAAGCCCCGAGGTCTCTTCAAAATCCGATGTTTCTGCAGCTCTGACATACCGATCCAGATTAGAGCGACGTCTGCAGCCTTCAATGGAAAAGGCTTTCCCACGGCTCGGATGGTATTAGGCGAAGACTTGGAGCCTGAGGGTACTTCGTTTGCACATGGAGATCCCAAAGTTTTTATTCTGTACTGCCTCATTCCGAGAAAAATGAATGAAGTTGCAAAGGCGTTGAGTCGGTGGCAAAACCTCGGACGAGATGCAATCTTTGATCTCACCTGCTCTTTCCAGGTACAGTGCTTATCCATTACACCAGCGGAATCCAGTAACCTCCACTCTTCCTTCCTCCACCATAATCCCCTCAGCAGTTTGGATTTAGCTGCTCTACTAGTGCTAGTTGAGGTTATCAGCTTCTAAAAGTTGGGTAAACTGACTGTAGAGGTTGATGTAGCTGGGGAAGAAGTGCAGAGTACTTAGGAAGGAAGGACTCTCCATAAGAAGAGTCGAAAGCTTTTTTGAGGTAAATTAGACTATACAAAAAAAGTTCTATAGTCCCCATCAAATTCTTGCCGAATTCAAACGGATGGACTTTTCAGGTCAAAAAAGTTAGCTGAAAGAAACTCAAATCTTCCTGTCTCGCAGACTGCCAACAAATTGCACCACCTAAATTCAATCGCGATGCAATTTCCGAACCCTCTCAGGTCTCCGACTGCTCGCTGGCCTCTCCGGCTGACACTCTCCGTCTGTCCCTAAATATTTTTCGGTCTGCTTTTGAAAGTATATCGTTGGCCATCGTGGCGGAGTGAAGTCGTCGGCAAAGATAGACCTGCGTGTCTCTCAATTTGACACCTCAGCCCCATAATCATCACGTCAAACTCATATCCACTTCAACATGGATCTGAACGAATTGTGACGGCCACGAAGGATAATGGAATGGATGAAAGGAAGTCATGGAACTTAATTCAATCGGTTTTGAAAATAGAATAAGTTTTTCGAAGATTAGAAGAAGTTTCAACTTGCTATATTGGACTTCAGGATCTCCCTATTAGGACAAGAGGATTTCTGAGGAGTTGACCAAATAGAAATCAACGATTTGTCTCGTGGTGACTTAAACTTCGTTATGAGCCTGGCTCCGAACCGAGTTTTTACGTAATCTTAGAATCTGCGGAGAATATAAGATGAGTTTGGAACAGGCCAGTGGATCAGGAACCCTGAATGGCTGACTCGTGAAAGAAACAGGCTCGGACTGAATGGTTCGCTTTACATTCCTTGTTGTTGTGAGAAGAACCCCAAAGTTGGCGTGCCCTTTAGTATGATGATTATTTCCCCTGGTAGTTTTGATAAAATTAGGTTATTTCATCCAAAAAAGGGCATACAAACTTTTTTCACCCACGTTCCCTTGAAATATGTTCTTTGTGGTTCATAACTTTTAATGGGCCTAGAATCTTCACTATTCGCCCCCCCCCCCCCCCCCCCCCCC